GGAGAGACACAGGGTAGAGAGAGATGGGGAGACACAGGGTAGAGACACAGAAATGGAGCAGAGATGGAGAGACAGAGATGGAAACAGGTAGAGAGAGAGGTGCAGACAGTGGGGGGGGGAGACGGAGAGATGGAGGGGGAGCTGGCCGGGTGGGCTCCCGGGGAGGGGGCACTCACAGGAGACTGTCTCCCAGACTTCTGTGAGGCTCCTACTCCCTGGTCAGGGCTTGCTAGAAAACTGGTTTCTCTCTAAAAGTCCCCCCAGGAGCCTTCACAGCTGTGACCTTGACCCCACTTCCAGATGACCTTACCTGTGTGTTCCAAGGCCATGCTCAGTCAGCCTGACTCCCGGGCTGCTAGTGGAAGGACTGCCTCCCTGGTGGCCTCATCTGGGCGACCCCCATGCCCACGGCTGATGGGTGGGCCTGGACCCCACCAAGCAGAGGACCTGAGACTCAGGCCCCTGAGGAGGATGGCTGAGCGTTCAGGGGCCTGGGGGGCAGCGTCCTCCCACCCACCTCTCAGCATCCAGCAGCAACCTGGGGCCACATAGCAGCTCTGGGAGACCAGGGGACAAGGAGGCTGGCTCTCGTATTATTTGGGAGTTTCCCTGGAAGCCAGGTCACCCACCAGGACAGTAATGCAATCTGCCACCACCTTAGCCACTGCCTCCAGGGACAGTTGGGGGACACCATGATCCCTGCCCCCACTTCCCAGGCACCCTGCTGGGGCCCCCTCTCATCCCACCCTGTGTGTGAGGTGTTGGGGGACGAGGGGAGCGGGGGGCCCAGGTGCTCCAGACTAGGCCTGGTCTCCTCACCTCTGTGGCCCTCGGGGACCTGGGCAGTCACGTTTCTGCCTCCGAGGGGACACAGACCCCCCTCCTACTTGGCCCTGTCCACACACACCCACAGTGGTGAGCGCAGCCTGCCCCAGGGCACAGGCTTGCCACTGCCCTCACCTCAAACACCTTCACAGCCCGGGACAGCGAGCAGGGCTTGGTGCCCTTCAGGGAGAAGAGCAGGCTCAGCAGGGCCCTCCCATCCTTCTCCTCGAACGCCACGGCCTCCAGGGGGTCTCCGGGCTCCGAGGAGGCTGCTGCAGCCGCCGCCGCTGCCGCCGCCTCCCGCTCCTTGCGGGCATCCTCGATGAGGCTCTGCCGCCGCCCGATGAAACGTGGGGACTGCAGGACAGGGACCCTGTGCATCTCCTCATCCTGGAGCCCCACCGACCCCACCCTCGGGGGCCCAGTCAGGCTGCACAGCCACACCCAGGAGCACGCCTCTGCACCCGTGCCTCTGCTGGGGTCGGCTGACCGGGGCGCCCTCTCCAGGCCCCGCCTGCCCACAGGCAGCCGGGCTGGAGAGAGCTGGACACCACGGCAGAGTCAGGGTGAGAGGGCATTGGTGGGTGCCTGGCCATCGGCCTCTCAGAGACTCTGTGTCACCCGTCCCCAGGACTGGCTCTCAGTGGACTCAGGACCTGCCTGTCCTGCTCCCCAGATGGTCAGCCGCCAAGTCCCAGGAAGGAGTGCACCGTGTCCTTGGCTCAGGCAGGAGCACCCAGCCTCCGCCCAATGTGGGTCCTGTCCTTCCTCAGCCAAAACACGGGGTCAAGGCCCTTCCTCGCACCCTCATCTGGACAAGGTGCTTCTCAGCCCAGCACCCAGCCAGGTGATCCCCTCTCCCGATCCTCCCCCGTCAGGTCCCCACCTCTGCAGCCTGCCCCGCTGGCCCCTCTCCTGTCAGCTCCTCGTTCTCCACCACCCCACTGCTCCAGGGCAGGCTGCCTGTGTGCAGACACTGCTGGCCGCGTCCCTTCCAACAGTCCCTGGGTCAGTGTGTCTGACCCCCTCCAGCCTGCCCAGGCCTGGACCCGGAGCCGTCAGCTCATCACTCAGAGCTGAGCTTCCGAGGAGCCCTGGGTCCCTGGCAGGAGTCTCCTCCCCAGCTCCCCGGGCCCTGGGCTTCCTCAGTGAGGCTCTGCCGCAGCCCATGGAAGTGGAGGGAGGGGCAGAGGCCCTCTCGTCCTGACTCAGGGGAGGGTTTTGCGGCCACAACCAGGGCCGCAGTCCCAGCCTGGGAAGAACCCATGAGGTTGGGTGGGCCCTGGAATCCCTGGGAAGAGGGAGTTGGCTGGAGACCTGGTAGCGGAGCTCTCTTGACCCAGCTTTCCCTGAGAAGTGCCTGGAGATTCAGTTTCTGGGAGACACTGAGGTCTCTGAGCAGAACCTGTCTTGGGTGAGCTGATGGTTCCGAGTCCCCAGGCTGAGAGCCCCCGACCGTCTCCTGCAGCAGCGCTTCCCAGCCGTCCGCCTTGCACCCCCTTACACTTGGGTGCCCAGGTGCCAGGCCTCCAGGGAGCAGACGCGTGGCAGGGGAGGAGGGCGGGTGGAGTGAGGGGAGGGCCAGGTCACACTGGCACCCAGAACCTGGGCCTGCACCCCTGTCTGCCTGGACCCCCACTGTGAGCTGCCGCCAGGACTGGGAATGGTCCCGGCCCCCTCCCACTGCAGGTGAGCCACTGGTTTGCTGACGGGCAGCTGAGCAGAGAGGCTCGGTGTGTGCCGTGGCTGGCTCTGGGCTCCTCTGGCAACCCTGGTCGAGGGCAGTCATGGGGTTCCCTCCCAAGACCCCAAAGGGGGATTTTTTTCCCAGTTCATGAAACGGGACCACAGACCTGGAGAGACTGTCACAGGGGAGACAGGCACTGTCCCACTCGGAGTCCAGCAGGGCACAGCAGAGACACACACCAGGAAACAGGGACGGCTGCCAGAGCTGGACCCACACCAACCCCGGGCACCCATCTGGCCTGGGGCTGCCCGTCACCCACGGGAGACAGAGGCTGCTCGGGCATCTGGTGCACTCTGGCCAACGGTCCAGGGCACTCCCCTTACCATGATAGCCTCTGCCTGCTTGGCGTCCAGCTCCGAGACGGCCCTTCGGAAGCCCTTGGGCTGCGGCGTGGTGGCGCTGGGTGTGGGCATGATGTGGCGTGGTGGTCCAGGACTCTGTCTCCACGGCCCTTACGGGCGGCCTCTTAAAGGCTGAGCTGACGTCAAAGCCCCTCTGGGTCCTCCACCTCCCACCTCCCGCCTCCGCCTCCCTCTCGCTGCCTGCTGTGCCTGAGGGAGGCAGGGGTGGGCGCCGAGCGGGGGAGACGCAGGAGAAAGGGCTCTGTCCCATTAGATCTAATTGCCTCCATGTCGCAGGCACCTGCCTCTGAATCACCCTCAGTCCTGCAGCACATGGACCAGGGGTGGCTCACGCTCTGCAGGGGCAGGGGACAGCTGGGGTCCCCGCAGCCCCACACCCAGGGTGCACACAAGATTCTTTACCAAATTTTCCCACAGGCCCAGGGCCATGTTTCCATCAGAGGCAACCTTCAGGCTTGGCGTCTGCCTGTGACCCCAGCCCTGCCTGCCCATCTGGCCCCGGTGCTGCCTCTGCGGTGTGGTCCAGTAGGCTGTGGAATGTCCCAGAAGGCCATCCCTCCAGTGTCTCTAAGGAGACAAAGCCCCCTTCACCCGATTCAGCCCTCCCCAAGTGCGCCAGGAGGGGATGCCCACCCACCGTGGCAGCCCCACCGCCCCCCTCCAGCCCCTGCCTCCCTAGGTCCCCTGTCACCCCTCCTCCTCTTGCAGGAAGGGCACCCTCCTTGGCACTGAGGGCCCTGGGCTCCCCACCCCTCCTCTGGGAGCTCCCACCGGCCGCCCCTTCTTGGGCCGGCCCTGGGGTGGCAGCACTGGAGCCAGCTTTCCACGGCACCCTCAAGACCTCGGCCAGTGGTCTCCTGCCCACCTCGTCCCGGCTGCTGTCCCCCTGCCCCGCCTCCCCAGCCAGGCCTTCTGGGAAGGGCGTCCTCTCTCACTGGGGGCTAGCACAGGGTACCTCCTTACCCCTGGCTTGGCAGGCTCGGCAGCAGGGACGCCAAAGGCCAGCGCCCACCCTGAAAACAGCAGGTTGGAGAGAAGGAAGGCCGGCCAGGGGGGCCCTGGGCACCCAGCGTGCCACCCACAGCGGGATCCTGAAGCCTGGGCCCCCCCCCCCCCCCCCCCCCGCCACCTGGTGATACCCTGGGACCATCCACCCCCAGGGCAGCTCTGCCCCTCCAGGAACCACACTCTGTTCTTCACAGCCGCTGGCCTCCTCCCTCTCCAGTCCTCCTTCAGCAGGCCCTGGGACTGCCCCAGAGTGCTCAGCGTGACCCTCAGTGTGTCCCTGTCGCTGGGGCCCAGTGCTCAGTCAGTGCCCAGGAAGGTCCCCATACATAGCCCTCTGGGGGGAGGCTCTGGGCTGGGATACCCAGTGTGAAATGCCTGTCTCACCCCTTCACCTGGCAAGCTCCTATGCACCCCACAGAACCCAGTCCAGCTGCCATCCCCTCTGCAACGCCTACTCTTTCTTGCCATATTGACCGCCCACTCCTCTGCTCCCCTCTGTCCCTTGCTCCTCCCTAACTCCCTGGGGGCAGGAACCTGCTCTCCTGAACCCCCTCCTGTCTCCTGGTGCCCAGCACCAGCCCAGGCCTGTCTCACCTCCTAGACACTTTTCCCCAAGAAGCAGGAGTCCAGGGTTGGGCCAGAGTGGGCCTGGGACGTATGCCCCACCGGCATTGAAAGGGTCTGCCCTAGACACCCATGTCCCAGCTCTACCCCACGGTACAACTGAGGATCCACGCCCTGACCCCGGGCCCAGGGTGGCCTGGCCTCTGTGCCAGCGCCCAGTCCTGCCTAAGCTCCGGAAGTCTCTCCTGCTCCCCTGGGAGCCCCGGAGGTCCGCTGCCCCCCCTGGTGCACCGCTGGGGAATCCTCAGAGAGACAGGTCCAGGCAGGTCTGTCCTCAGTCCCGCCCCGACCTGCCCTGGCCAGGCCCGTTTGCTCAGGTGGCCCAGAGCAGGAGGCGACGGACCAACCAGCACCAAGCAGAAGGATCACGGCCCCCCTGCCGGATGTGGATTTAACCTTTCAGCAAATGTCTCTTCACTGACACAATATTGCTCTTTAATTCGCTTTCCTGCCTGGGCTGGTTGAGTTTTCATGGAACCTGTGTGGGGAGTGGTGTCAGGACTGTGCTTTCCAGACCCTTCCCTGGGCCCAGTGCGCCCTGAGCAGAGCACAGACCAGAAGCTGAGGGCAAGGAGGCCCCTGGGTGGCCTTCAGGGGACAGTGATGCCTGGCCTCCTGCCCCTGCTCAGGCCTCCGGCCTCACAGCCCACCCGTCCGCAGGTCCCTGTCCCTGGGAAGCCCTCCCCAAAGACCCATCCTCCAGGGCTGGCTGGCCCTGCTGGCTCCAGGGCCAGGGCCCCGCTCTCCTGCCCTGGCCAGGACTGACCCTGCCCACTGCTTTACGCTGCGCCCGTCCCCTACCCTAGTTGCCAAAGGTTCTCAGGAGCCGCCCCGGTCAGCACCCTCCCTCTGGGCTGAGCCAGGCCCCATGACAGGGGCTCTCACTCCTCGCACCTGTTCCTCTCTCCAAAGTCCTCTGCAAGGGCCTCTCCTCAGGCTCGGCCCCCCCAGGGTGGAGAGTCCCTTTCCATGATGGACTCGATGGCATGAGGTCAACCCTGCCTCCATGGAGCCTGTGTGAGGGCCCTGGGGGTCCTAACCCCCCACCTTCAGACAGACCATTCTGTCCATGGTGGGGGTTGAGGCTCAAGAACATGACCTCTGGTCACATGGCCAGTCTCCAGACCAGGTGCCCCACTCCCGAGACTTTGGTTTTCACAGGCCCTATGGTGACTGTCCCCAGGGCTAGGGTCTCAAGACCTAGACGGCCAGGGGAGAAATCTACCAAGCTGCAGCCAGTGCCCCCCCTTGCAAGAGGATGGGGCTGGACAGGGGCTCCCCAGAGGCCAAACTCAGGTCCCAAGAGCCCGAGGGCCAGAACAGTGTCCCCAAGGGAATAAGGGGCTGGGACCGGAACCCGTGGGATGGGCTCCAAGGGGTGGGTTAGTTGGAGGAGAGACACGGAGCCAGCCCCCCCCCTTCAGGCAGCCCTCTGCCCCTGCTGCTGGCCCCGCCCCTCAGTCATCCGAGTAATTGCAGGAGCCCAGCGCTGTGGCAATTAGGGACGCTGAGCCGGCTCTGACAAACAGAGCGTTCTCTCGACAGCCTCCTTCAGCGCCAGGCTTAATAGCCCATAATGACGGTGTGCCAGTGCCCCCGCAAGGCAGGGCAGGGCGTGGATCTCACCCCGCCCGTGGGGCCTCTCTGCACAGCCTGGCCCACTTGGGGCCACCCCAAACCCAGGCCCACCTGAGGGGCCCAGTGATGAGCTGCAGAGGGAAGGGGCTGAGGAGGGCCCTGCTCTGGGACCCCTGGCCATGGCCTCTGGAAGATTTCCGACCTGTGGTCCTGTAGGCCCCAGCCATGGCTGACCATGATGGGCACATCAGTGGGCCTCCTCCCCTATGGTCCTGCCGCCTGGACACAGTGGCCCCAGACACACTGACCCAAGCACCCAGTGTGCACTGCCCCTGCTCTGGGGCAGACTGTTGAAAATCAGGTGCAAACAGTTTGGGGCCCATGTTTGGGGTCAAAGGTCACCTCCCATGGATCACACAGGATGAAGGTCTTTGTCAACCAACAGCATCTTATCTTCCTGCAAGCGCCTGAGCAAACGCACACGTCCGTGAGACTCACACATACACACACACCCCGCAATACACACAGACAGACAGACACACGCACACGGCCCTCCATGACCAGGCCCACTCTTTACAGTCCCAGGGACCCAAGGTCTCCAGAGAAGCCCCCTCCACATGGGGGTCTGGGGGTCAGGGACACAGACCTGCAGGGCCACCAACTGACACACACACATCCTGGGAGATGATGGTGCCCTCTCGGGGACTGGGGGTCCTCAGGATGTCATGCTGCCCCGGGCTGTCCCTGGTACTGCTAGGAGTAAGCCCAGAGAACAGAGGACAGTAAGGCCAAGACCCCCCAGCCAGCTGCTTCCAGGGCCATCCCAGCCCCTGCCGTCCAGGCCGGGCCTTTCCCAAAGTCTAAGGAGGTGCCCCTGCCCCACCCCACCCTAGATGGAAGGGGAACCAAGACACGGGCAGGATCCAGCTGTCCCATCCCTGTCAGACCAAATGCCAGGGCAATTAGCCCTAACGAGGCCTCGGACGGAGCAGGAGCCGCAGGGCTGGCGGACGCAGTATTGACAAGACGGCCAGGACCAGCGCCTGAGGTCGATCACAGGCACTTAGGGATGATTGGGCATTTGGAAGTCAGAGCAGAGGCGAGGGCGTGCGCAGAAGCTGCCTAGTCCCCACCACAACTCCGCTGGCCTGGGGTCAGCCCTCCTGGTCCCCATGGACGGAGCATCCCACTCTGTTCACTCCCATAGTCCCCATCCCAGCCTTCACTTCCCCCACCCAACCTGCCAGGCCTGGGCCCTCTCCCAGGCAGCCCTCCACCCAGCCTTCTCTCTGAGCCCCCCTCTGGCCTGAGGGATGGACAGCACTGTCCCCTCATCCTCGCCCATGGGGCCAGCCTGGATCCTGGAGACCCACTGACTAGGAGACTGGAACAGTTTCATTTGGTCTGTGCACGTGTGCACGTGAACGTGTGCTGTGTGAGAGTGCACGCCTGCACCCGTGTGCTGTGTGAGAGTGCACGCCTGCACCCATGTGCTCACAACAGCACTCTAGCAAGTGGGTGTGCGTGCATTAGTGTCCATGTGCATGTGTATACAGTAGGGGCTGATGCCCCTTTATTCACATGGTGGGGCCAAGGGCTAGAAACACAGGTGTCAGGAAAGCTCTCTGTGCCTCTGAGGGCCCAGCGTCTACTGAGATGAGTTTCCCTTCTGTGATCAGACTTCTCAGGGAGATGGCCTTGAGCCCTACATGTCCCTGGCTTCCCACAGGCCAAGGGCACTGGACCAAGGGAACCGGTGGCCAGAGGCCCTATGGATCCATGTTGGGCAGATGGATGGAGGGGACAGAGGAGAAGCTTTCAGAGCCAAGTGTGGGTCAGTCCTGGTCAGTGCGAGGCCACGGAGGCCGTGCCAACCAGGCCTTCTCTAAGATGAACCTGAACTTCATGTCAGTGGAGGCTGGAGGCTTG